ATAAAATAAATAAAATTGAATATAAAATTCTAAAAACTAACCTGAAATAAATCTGATTTTTAAATGATTGAGGCCGATTGGAACTTGACCCGCTTCTGTCTAAAGATGTGTTACTTTGAACAGAGGAATAAGAAGAAGAATAACCACAAGGTGCATTTTTTAATAAAATACATATAATTCAAGAAACTCATTATAAATGAGACTTACCCTCCGTTGAACTTCGTCCTCTACATAAAGAACATTGTAAAACTTCTTCAGAAGTTGTAATTTATATCAAGGATCAAGTAAAACAGCAGAAGACAGAATCATTGAGTGATCAGACCAATATTTCTCATATAGTTCAAGCATAGGTCATACCATTGTAGAAATACCTTCACAAGGATCATTATGAACAACTTAGCCAAGTACAAGTTAGAAGTGAGATACTTAGATCTAGAGAACATAATAGTAATTTCATAAAATGGCTCAAGAAAATCACAAATTGTTTGAACAGTTTCCCACCCATGATCAGTAATGATATCCAACTCATTTTCCATATTAACAAACAAGTTAATGGCTAATCTAGCCTCAAGTGACCTATGAATAATTGAGTAAGTAGAATTCCATCGAGTAGGAACATCCAATAACAACTTATCACGGAAAGAAGAATCACAATCTTTAACAACTAATTCAAAGGAACAAAGTCGAGAGTTAGAAGAATCAATAAACTTAACAATTTCACGCAATTTAATAAAAGAAGATCAACTAATTACCTTTGAAATTTTTTGAACTATCAAGTTCAAAATGTGGACAGCACACCTTATATGAAAGTACTTACCATTGCAGGGAAGAGGAGAAATGACATTCAAATCATCTCTAAGACTCTTAACAATTCTATTATTTGCAGAATCATTATCAAGTGTTATGGTAAAAGCTTTTTTTCAAGACCCTACTCACATATCATATTTTTCACAAACTTAAAAATTGACTCAGCATCCATCACATGTAAAACAAATACGACTTGAAACATAATGCATTAAATCAAGTAACATTTTTTTATGATTTTCATGCTCCAACATGCAATACTTAGTAACATTATACCTCGATATGTCCTTTACACTATAATTAAGTTAATGGTGTAAATCCCTAAGTTTTTCATGCTCAACTATACTCAATGCATAACCATGAAACAAAATAGTCTCAACAAACAATTCACAGTATTTGTTTTTGATTAAAAGAACTTACCATACAAGGATTTTGAGCAAGATATTCCTTATAAGCTTGGCATTTCTCAATATGTCTTCTAGGGTTAGATGTACCAATATAAGAATCAACTTTATACCTTTTAATCTTGAAATACTTACACTCGGCATAAATAGAACCATCAGTAGATTTGATGAAGGTGTAATGGTCCCAAATAGGAGAAGTTCTTCTCCCAAACTCGGATGGACATGTAGCATTCCTCTTATAGGATTTATTGACATCAACTGCTTCTGACAGTTGTTCATTTAAATCCCCTTAAAAATTATATCGGTATATATGTTATATATAAAACAATTAAAAAAATAAATTAAAAAATCAAATTGAGAGGTAATGATGCAATTTACCTATTTCAGAATATTGTTCATTCTGATCTGTTAGGTTTCTCCCAAAAAGATAAAAAGAATTATTAATTCGAATAAAAAATAAAAATAAAAAAAATCAGAATCTTACCTGGAAAGTTCAACTCGTATGACAAATTATCCATGAAACCCTAGAAAAAATAAAGGCTTTGAATGGACAAGGTTAATAGTCTAGGTTAAAGAAGATGAACAAAGACAGAAGTAGATGAAGAGTCTCGGTTAAATTTAGTGTCAAAGAAAATGAACAAAAGAAAGAAGAGTTTCAGTTATGGTTTAGGGTTAGAGAAGATTAATAGAATATGAATAGTCTTGGTTAGGGTTTAAGGTTAGAGAAAATGAACAAAAGATGAATAATAGTCTTGATTAGGTTCAGGGTTAAAGAAAAAAGATGAATAATACTTTGTTAGATTTAGGGTTAGAGAAGAAGTTGGAATATGAACAGTATTCGATTAGATATAAAAAATAGGTTGTGTTTTGGGTGTTTGTAAGGATCAAACAAGGGTTTGGGGATGAATATAGATAAAGTAGGGTTGAGGGTTTAGGTGTTTGATCGAAAAATAGGTTGGGTCTTGGGTCTGGGTGTTTGAAATGATCAAATAAGGGTTTAAAGATGAATGTGAATTAACAAGGGTTGAGGGTTTGGGTCTTTGATCGAAAAAAGGTTGGGTTTTGGGTTTGGGTATTTGTAAGGATCAAACAAGGGTTTGGGGGTGAACACATATGAATAAGGGTTGAGGGTTTGGGTGTTTGATCGAAAAATAGGTTGGATTTAGGTGTTTGTAAAGACCAAAGGAGTATTCAGGGGATGAACATGGATTGAATTTGGGATGTTTGAATGAAAAAATCAAAGGATTTTTGGGTTTTATGTATTTGTGGATGAGATTTCTAGAGAAAAGTAAGAGGATTTTGAGAAAATCGAAGTGTAGAGAGAGAAAGCAAAATCATAAAATGAGAAAAAAAAGAAAAATGATCGAAATTAGAAAAATTTTGGTTTATATATTACTTAAAATTCGGGCCTCTTAGCCCACGTATTTTTTAAGTTTATTTGGCATTGTAGCGTCGTCCTCATATTTTATATTCGTTCAATTTAGTCCAAAGGTAATGATGCAATTTAAGCTTTATATTTTTAATTCTTTCAATATAATCCCTATATATTTTTAATTATTTCTAATATATATATATATATATATATATATATATATATATATACATATATATATAAATGTATTCAACTATAGTTAATATTAATAAACTATATAGTTTATATATATATATATATATATATATATATAAACTATATATTATATAAATAGCATATAAATAACTTATGCATAGTGTATAAATATAAACTATATAGTTTATATAGTTTATATATATAGTATATATACTTTATATATAAATTACATAATTTATATTAATAAAATATATAATTTATACATATTATATATAATTTATACATAATATATATAGTTTATATATAGTTTATGTACTCTATATAAATATAAATTACATAGTTTATATATTATATAGTTTCTATATAGTTTATAATACATATAGTTTACATACTATATAGTTTAGTTTATGTATATTTTATTATTATATACTTTATATATATATATATATATATATAATATATTATAATTGTTTTAATTTTTTTCTCAATTTTTGAAATGAATACAATTTAGTCTGTTTTACAGATTTTTTTTTCACATTTTACAATTATTTTGATTTGATCCCTTTGTGTTGTTTAAATTATTTAAATTTTTATTTATAATTTCATATTTATTCAATTTGATCCTTAAAATTATATTTGCATATGAAATTGACCTATAATTATTTCTTATTTATTTTTTTGTAATTGGCCCATAATTTTTTTTAAATGGGTATAATTTTTTTATATTAATTTCAAGCTCACATTTTAAAATTATTTTGATTTGGTCCCTCATCAATGTGTGTTATTTAATTTATTTAAATATTTATTTGTAATTTCATATTTATTCAATTTAGTCCTTAAAATTATATTTTTTATCAAAATTGATCCATAATTATCTATATTTTAGTAATTTACTGTAAATCATATATAATTACAAATTGCAATTCAATGTTCACGAAAGGAAAAAATAATTAATTCAAAACTAAAAATTGACCTGAACTGAAGTCAATCTGTATCCAGTAAAGATCCGACCTGAATTTTATCTGTCAATGATGTGTCGATCTGAATGAGATCCGACTGAAGTCCATCTGAACCTGAATTAATCTTGTCTTTAAATGCTTCGGACCTGAACCATTTTGACATTAACTGACATCGATCCGAACTGAAATTAACCCAACCTGAACTCCAACTAAATCTAATGCAAATCAACCTGAAAATGACATGAACTGATTTGATTTAGAACCGACCAGGTCTGAGTCGAACCATCAAATTGACATGTATCCAAATTTACCTAACTTGACAATATCCGACTGAAACCTAAACAATTACCTGATTTTACATCCCTACTGAAAATTGCCACAACTTTTTTTTTTCTAAATATTTTTGGAAGTAGACTTTCTCCTTTGTAGATATTGGATGACACATTTGGCATCCCAGATGCAGCGATTGCTAGGAAATCTGCTCCAAGAAAAAGATGTCGAGCCTCCTTGTTCAGTAATTGAAACTTGGTCTATCGTCCAGTTGGATTATTTATATCTACCGGTCATTACCGTTCGTTGGTTGTAATATACTTGAGAGTGTTTGGCCTTTACATTCTTGTAGAAAGGTTGTGCATGTTATACTTAGGATTAATATAAAAATAAGTGTCCAAATTATGTTATCTTTTTCTTTTACATGCTTAAATTATTTTTCGGTTAATTCATGTGTCTAATATTATAAACGTTATTATTTTAAGTACTTCAACCGTAATAATCGTTAAAAAATCCTATTAGATGACACATATTCTATTCTAGTAATTTTGAAGATTTTATTTTTATAAAAAACTTAAAAGTAAATTATCATATTTAAAAAACAATCTTAAAATTGAACTTTACTGTCGATCCAGTAGTTATATTAATCCTTATATTTAATGTTTAGACCTTTCCTGTCGATCCAGTAGTTGGCGAGTTAGACGACTTTGAGTGGCCTTGAAATTGAACACTGAAAGTCCATCAAGCACGAGTTCTAGAGGTTTGCCACTGATAATTGTTTTAATGAAATTGAAATAGTTGTTTTAATGAAAATATAAACCAAATGAACTAAGAAAAGTATACAACTGAGTGTAAACAAAAGAAAAAAGGAAACGCTTTTCCAGACCGAAGCCTCTCAAGTACATGAACATCCATACGGAACCTTAGATTTCTGCAACTTATGAAGCAAGGATTTATTTAAGCACCACATTTCATCTGAAATGATCGAGTAATTTGCTAAGATAAGAAGACATTATAACCCGATGATTGAGCAGCGTATGAGATTTGAATCCCATGACGGAATTGAGTTTGACGAAGAAGCTTGTCCCTAGAAAAACAAAGCTTGGCAACAACATCACTCATGCCCGTCTGCTCACGCGGTGATTCAGCAGAGCAAGCTAGAGCTATTTCGAATATCAAATTCAAGCATTGAAGACTATCCTTTCGCAGGCTGTTTTCATTGAGCGTGATGTCTGCAATTGTTCCTCCTCTGACACTGTTTTGAAGAAGGATGGGATCTATAATCTCAATCATTCGACCGGAAAAGCTTTTGCAACAAATTTGTGGACTCAAACCTTCTTTGAACCTTTCATCAGTTGATCTTTTCTCTGTAAAGATCTCTAACAAGAGGATATCATGACTATACACATTGCCTTTAGTTGACAACTCACTTCCCATACCATATTATACAATTAATTTCATCACAAATTATACATACAAATAATTACAGAAGAAATGAATGCAATATAATTATCAGGTGGTGCATAATCAATAGTTCCTCTTGTGCTAAGGGAGCTTGATTCGTTAGTAGGATAGTTAAGCCTATCTTCTTATGGCCAAGTCAAAGTCTCTTATATGGACAATCATTTTGACATCGAGTAGAATATTGCTTGACTTGAGGTCACAATGAATGATCAATGTTTCACAATGATGGTGCAGATATTCCAATGCATGAGAAACATCTATGGCCATATTAACTCTTTGGAAGAAGTTAGGTTTCTCATCGTCTCAAGGTTCAATCATGCTAACAGATAGATGCAGCAGTCCTCCAAGCTTTCATTTTCCATGAACTCATAAACCAAGGTTTTAAAAACATTGCCTTTGTAATCAACCCCGGAAATGACTGTTAATACCCTGACAAGCTTTTGATGTTGAATGTCCTTCAAGGCCTCGCATTCAGTCAAGAAGCTCCTGGATGCTCCACAATTTAGAAGATTTAAGTACCTTTACTGCAATAACTGCTCCACTCTCTTCGAGAATTCCTTTGTATATAGAACCGAAACTTCCCGAACGACTCAAATTCTGCATGGCGAATCCATCAATTGCCCTTAGGATGCTTATGATAACCGTAAAAGTGCATTTTCTGCACAAGTTGATGTTGGCTTTTGCTCTTTCTTCTTTCTAAATCACAAAATGAGGATACAAGTGAAAACCAAACCCACTTCTAAAATCACAACGATAATTGTAATATTCAGTTAGGGAAGTATCTAATGATTTTTTCAAGTCACATATTGACAAGTGTAACTCACGGATGCCTCCACAAAGTTTATTGTTTCCCTCAACGAACGTAGCACTTGCATTCTTGAAGACTCCTTCACTTGGGTAACACTCCCTCAAAATCATTAAAAGAGAGGTTTAAATACTTTAATGCATCAAAGTCTATAAGAAATTTTGGAATTTCAACTGAATGATTATTGTCAGATATGTCCAATGAATCAAGATCTCTCAATGAACTCAAAGAGGATGGAATGGACCCTTCAAACAAGTTGCCTTCCAAGAAGAATTTCTATAGACTTACACAGTTACCAAGGTTTTTCGGAAGCATACCAGATAACCTATTTTGAGAAACATCAAATTCAACTAGATTTTTTTAGTTTTTCTACTTCAACAAGAAGCACACAAGTCGAATGGTTTGATGATAAGTCTAATGCAATGGAAAAGGATGGGAGACCAAGTATTTGAGAGGGTATTTGTCCACTAAGATTTTTAACGAGAAAGACCTAGAATTGTGGAGCCACCATTGAAATAACTAGAGTGCAATATAAGTAGTTATTGAACTCTGGTATTACTCCATTCTAGTTGGTTCAAGTTTGTTCCCTTGGATTATACTATAGGCTGGAGAGCAATTTCGAAATTGACAAATCATTTGCAGAAGAAGCTCGACCGGAATGAATGTTCAAGATTATTCGATCTTAAATATTTGATTTGTTGGCTTGTTGACTCGGACAAAGATAATTCGTTATTTTTAATTTTTTTCCGATCCGAATATCGGTCCACTAATTTCACAAGTTCACAGGTCAAATTACTGGTTGAGACCCTGTCATGATATCTTTTGAGCAGCTGCTGAATATCTTCATGAATCTCAGAGTTTTCTTCTCCAATGATGTCAACATTTGTTGTCACAAATCTTCGACATACATCGACAGCAAATTCCTGTCATGTAGCATTATACTTCTGCATGATTTATTCATCAAATCATATCTCAGTTCTTCCTACTAAATACATAGCTGCTGATTCTAATCTCTTATGATCATGTATAACAAAAAAAAGGAAAAATACTTTTTGACATTTTTAACTCAGCCCTTAAGATCGTTTCCATCAAATGCATGCAACTCAATCCTAGGTCTGAGATTGTCTGCAAAACCACTTGAACGTTATAACATTAACTATGTCAACCGAATTACAACTCAATAAGCAATTAGTTTCATTACTAATATTCATATTATTCATCACAAAATTAGGTGAAATTTGAAGCAGTCTAATTTGTATTGAGGGAGTGATGGCATCTTTATTTTGGATTCAATTAGATAAGCTTCAAATAGTCTAACAACATTGTTTATAGCGATGTCATTCTCTAAACTCATTTTCAACACTTGGGGTCAATGTTTGTTTGTATCTTCCATTAAGAAAACCTTCATTTTTTTTTTGCTCGGCAATCAATTTAATAGCCAGCCTCTGGTTACTAGAAACTGATGTAATCTATAATCATTAGTTAATTTTCTTAACTCCACTAAGTCTCTTTATACATGATCTCTCTTTCCAAGATGATATAATAGTCAAATAGAGAACCGCACAAACTAGTTGCTCCGTGTGGGAAACTTGTCCTAAAACAACATTAATTGTCCAATGAAATTTCTTGACCTCTTCCTTTTTATATGATTTAATAGTGAATTGACTGTCCAACTCAGTTGGTAGAGCACAAGGCTCTTAACTTTGACTGTCCAAAATGAAAGCTTTGGTTTTCGTACTATGCCTTCTCTTGGCTTCCACTCTCTCTTTTCCTACTGCCACCATTGCTCGAGAATTGGCCGATAATGGTAAAGAACAATTTTTATTTTCCCACTGTTTAAACATCCATTTATTGATTAAAAGGTTTTTCAGTTTGCTGGTTTGCCTAAATGATACGGATTTAGTATCAAAATCTTCTTACTACTTTCTTAGCATCTGCAAACCATTCTTAAATTTTTAGATTATAGTCTCTTTATATAAATCGAAAGCCTTAATTGGCATATAAAAAAGTTCATGATAGAATTCATTGAGTGATCTTAGTGATAAAAAAACAGTGTTATTCTCCCTAGAGATCTCGGGTTAAAAGAATGAAATAAAGTTCTTAGAAGTAATTAAAAAGGAAAATAAGTTCAGGTTTTAGGTTAAAATTTGTAAATTATCCCTTCTTTCAGGGTCTAAATAGATAATTTTTTTAATATTCTAATTTATGTTTGTTTACTGTGCAGACCCAAATCCTGTATTTCATTGCCGACGAGATCGATCATATTCCAAATGCATTCCAAAGCCACCTTCTAAGTGTACCATTTACAAACGTGGTTGCTATGATGATCCCACGCCTTGAGTTTTATTCTGAAGCAGAAAAAAGATTATGGGTCTTGTATAATTAAATAATTAATTAGCAAAAAAAAGTAATAAAAATATGTTAGGCTATAGCAAGACTTACTATGCTCTTGCTAGCATTATAGTATAACCATCAGACAGTTATCATTGGGCGCCAAAGTTAGTTAGTTTGTTATAATTGTTTAAGCTTGATAGCCTTGCATTGTTCACTATAAAAGTGATGTATCAGAAAGTGTACAAACCACGTATTCAATATATCCCTTTCATATACAGTCTCATATTCAGTTTCTTAATATGGTATCTTTCGCCATTGGTCTTGGGGTTTCTTGAAAAACTCTTGTTACGCGATTTCTTGCTTGGTGTTTCAATGGAGTCGTCCATAAGTACGAGCTTCTCTCATAAGAAAATCAGCGTTGTTCTTGATGAGATGAACTACCTTCTGGAAGCAGCAGATTCTGCTCACCGTAAGGAGTCACCGTCTTGAGCGCTTGTTGACCGGAGCTCTACAATCACCACGGAGACGATTCTTGATGATACCGGTGATTCGTGTCAACGATGCATTTGGGATTTTATTGCGCAGGATAGTGCGCTTGCTTCGTGGCTCCTGTCAACCATTAGCTCTCATCTTCTTCCTCATTTTGTTGGTGCCGAATCTGCAGCTGCAGTATGGAGTGTTATGCAACAACTATTGCGAGCAGATCCACGACGGCTGCTATGAGTTTGCACTGCAAGTTGCAGTTGCTTAGGAAGGGAAATGATAACATGCGAGTGTATCTCACTCGTGTAAAAGAGGTATGTGATGCACTTGCCTCGTGTGGTAGTGCAGTTTCGCATGTTGGACATGTTGCCAGCATCTTGAAAGGATTGCCCAGGGAGTATCAACCGTTTATGGCAGTTATCACTACGATGAAGGAAACATTGTCCTTGGACAGCCTTTACACCGTCCTTCTAGATGCGGAAGCACAGTTGGTCGGGTTCGATGAGCAGTTTGATTATGCTCCTATGACAGCCAATGTTGCTGAAAGAGTAGAAGGTCATGACTCCTCTGATGGACGGCGTGATTCTAAATCTTCGCGCTCATCGTTTACAAACAGGACAGGCGGACGAGGCCGAGGACGAACTAAGATTCAATGCCAGCTATGTGGCAAATTGGTCATTTGGTTGATCGATGCTGGCATCGTTATGATGAAGAGTTTATGTGTTACATCTGAGTCGCAAACTCATAAAGGGCAGTCTGCCAATGCACACTACTCTGCTATTGAAACTTCAAACCTGGGATGTGAACGCTGTAAAGGCCATTCTCAGACAGCAGGTAATTTGCAAGCTAATACGGCCTCCAGATCCAGTGATCATTGGGTGGTGGATTCTGGAGCTACGCATCATATCACACCAGATACTGCGAATGTCTCGAATCCTGCTGAGTTTAGAGGTCCAGGTAAACTTACTGTTGGCAATGGAGTCTCTGTTGATATCATAATGTTGGTACTGCAATTGTTTCCTCTGCTTCTTCAAGAACTTTAGTCTTGACAAAATATTGCATGTGCCTCACATAACCAAGAATTTGCTTTCGGTCTCTAAGCTTGCTAGGGATAACAAGGTTTATCTTGAATTTCATGCTGAGAAGTGCTTTGTTCGTGATGAATTCTCTAAGGCGATTCTTCTGCAAGGTGAAGAGAAAGGAGGACTTTATACTTTTTCGCTTAGTGATCTGACTTCACAAGGCTGTGGTGCTGCAGTTCATCTTGCAACTACAGATATGACTCAGTCTGTGCTTTGGCATCAACGGTTGGGATATCCAGCTAGTTTGCTTTAAGTAAAATTGCAAAAGA